GAGGACATAAATATCTTACAATCATACCGAAGCTGAGTCACCAGAAGCTACAACCTGCACTTCACTTTCAGGAATCAGTGCGACAAACTGGCAGGATTTTTCCTGTCTTAAAAGGGAGCAGTTGCAATGTCTTGTACAGCAGCTCATCACTGGCAGCAGCCCACCAGTCAGAACCCACCAGGTATAAAAACCGGTAACCAGTTTTGATTAGAAGGCCTCCAAAAAGCTCAAAGCCATGATTGCATTGTAAACAGGGCAGAAATGATGTGAGCGCAATCAGTGGAGGATTTGAACTGGAGGCTGCCAACTCTGCGAATACAGCACAAAGCTATTTGATGAGTTTCTGTTGGAGACGGATGAAAAAGACCACCTGATTGTTCAAAAAGGTTTTCTGTTTTGATTTTAGAAATGTTTTTTTTTTTTTAAATGCCCTTTGGGATATAATGCCACCCAGTGGTTAATATCAGAACTGACTCAAGCGAACTGGTCACTTTGAACTTCCTTTTTTGTCAAACTACCTTACAAAATATATATGTATATATTTTAATACTCCTCCTCTAAAATGGCTCTTTTGGTGGTTATTCCTGTGTTTTATTTCTAATTCCCTCTCAGAGAAACATGGATTGATGTATTGGCTTCCTCAGATGTTGTATTTCAGCCTTTTAGGCTCCCTGCAGGCTCTGCTAAGGGGAAAAAAAGAACACTGCAGCTTCATCTGGGTGGTATTCTGAAAAAAACAACTTTCTGTTGTAATTTGAAATTGAGGTCTAAAATACTTTCTTATTGGTTATTGAACCATAATTATACACTAAAATGACTCTCATTTTAGCCACCGTGTTATTCAGAATCTGTTATCTTTAAGTGGATGGATCTGCTCTCTTTATAATAGTACAACACAGCCTCTATAGAGATCCGAAATAAACCCTCATAGCCCTACCTTTGCAAAGTAAGATGCATTTAAAAGTCAAGTAAGACAAGTAAAGCTAATAATTTGCCTCATTTTATTTATTTGTATTTTGGAACACATCAAAGGAAACCTCATAACACTGTATGTGTCCAGTATATGTACAGTAAGATCGGAGGCAAACAAAAACAAATTTTGGTGAGAGATTAATCTAATTCTACTTTTTCTTATGACAATAGCTCATTGTGGTTATACAAAGGCAATATATTATGGTACACTTTGCTTATGATCCATATCTTAGTAGACTTAACCATTTTGGGGAATTACCATCACAAGAAAAGGTGACCAGAGATGAACCAAGGAAGCACGAAGCCAAGCAAGTCAATATCTCCCCAGCCCAGATGTATAAACAAAGAGGAAAAGTCAGAGATCCAACATGAAAAAGGACAAAAATATATATACCGGTACATGTCAAGAGTAATATGACAAGTAAAGCTCAGAGTGCAATACCAACGCTTGTGTTTATTGGAGCGAAAGCTAAAGCTGCTGAAGCTGGAACGTTGATAGATGCGTAAGTACTGCCAACATTTTCGTTCTCCAAAAGGAGTAAGTAAACACTATCAGGACACTTTTTTGAATGAGAATTTTTTTCTTCTGTCAGAAAAGGCACTAAAATGAGCCACAACTTGTGAGTGGTTTTAGTTAGACTTAGACAACTTTTATTGTCTTTTATTTTAATCAAAGAAAAGGATGCTAGGATGAGACAGAGTTGAATAAATACTGGGTCAATCCTAATGGGAGGGGTCCCCACAATAGTCAGGAAGCTCCCAATGGTATTGGCTGTTGTGCGGAAGCCATGAGATGTCGAGATTTAAAAAAAAAGTAAAATAAAGAACAATGGTGTTGATTATCATGTTTATATAGGGAAACCAGAGACTACGTGTTACCTATATAGCGAACACACTTCTATCTTCCTTTTGGAATATTCAATCTAGGCACCTTTAAAAAACACGCTGAACAATCATAAAACCTCAGAACCGGAGGTACAGTATGGCTTTCATCCATGGTTGGGAACAGTGACCTGAATATTCACCTCAGGGTACCTCTTAAGGGGACCATGATATATTAGCTGTCTACTTGTAGCCCTCTTGTTCCTTGAAGTATTTTTCAGGAGTTCCAGAGGGGTATGAGCTACTTAGGTAGATTTTAAGGGCCATAGTGCTGTTTTATGCCCAACATGACAATTTGTAGAGTGTTTGGACTCTGTCGTAGCTGTTCTTTATCTCCGATCCCTTTTCTGGTGTTCATGCATGAAATCGCCAAGATTGGGATCATGATGGATCATGACTAGAGTCATATAAGCAGGTAAATATATAGATTCATCTGCTGGGTCAGACAACACCCTTGGAGCAAGGCTTGAAGCCCCAGTAATCAATGTGGAACCCAAAGTAGAACGTCTGTTCCTACAAATCTAAAATCGTTACTAAAATGGTTTGAATTCCTGGGCGTGTCCCTTTGGAAAATTCCTGAACTAAGGGACTCTAATGGGATCCCCCCAATAAGCCTGGAAATGGAGAATATTCCTTCTTAGACCTGTTCCACACCCTGCCAATCAGATAGGCGAAGACAAAGATTGACCTCGAAATGGGTACTGCTTCAATGGCCACTGCAGGCCTTGAAATCCCATTTTTTTTTGCCCATATGCTACCTGGATCTGATCTCTTCATGACAGTCTGAACAACACAGATCCGATTTTTTCCAATACGATCCAGGCCACTTGGCTATGTGGTCCATGACCTGATACGATCTGGTCTTTCCAAATGCGACCTGTGTCTGAACAGCCAGGTTGCATTCATCCGACCTGAACAGCCATTAGTAACCGACATAGGTCACTATTCTGCTTCTTGCTACACAGAAGCGGCAAGAAAAACAAACAACCATGGTGGACAATGATGCGGAGGGCAGTATCTTTTTAACCATCTTTAAAAGATTGAGGTTTTAGGTTTGGAAAGACCTCTAGATGCGCTCCAGCGCTACATACATGTTTACTTCTGTAAACGCAAAGCACGCTGGCTTGCGACGTCATTGCGTCCTCTACTTCGCATGCGGGACACTTGAGCTGTATGAATGCAGTTCACACAGGAGATCACATACAAGACGCATATATTTGGAAATGTGACAATCGGAATTGAGCATCAAGGCCTGCAGTGTGAACTGTTGTGGTTTGTGGACCCAAATGCAGAGGCAGGAAGGCAGCGGTGAGTTTCTTGTAGATTTAATGAAGTGTTTTCAAACAACTGAGGCAGGAATCCAAAAGTCAAAACATGAAAACAAATCAAACAAACCAGAAACCATGGAGACATCTGGGGGAAACTATCACAAGAAGGAAGACTCAGAGAGACGGAGTTGGAGGAAGTTAGACAAGGAACCAGCACTGAAGGCTGAACTGCACAGAGACAGTATTGATGGGAGACTGAAACAAAGAGAGGGCTAACAAGCAGATTGGGAGCAGGTGTGAACAGAGCAGAAAAGGAAAGGAGCTAGGGGAAAAGGAGAACACAAGAGGGCAGCAAAGGGCGACAAATAAAAACCTGGAAACTGAAAATAACCTGAAAACACAACAAAATAAAAATTAAACCACTAAAACTAGAAAACATGGAGCAAAGTAAAACTGAATACTCAAAAGAAAATATAACAGAACCAAGACTGTGACATGAACGTAGCCATAGCCAAGCGGCCTGGGTCGCATTGGAAAAAATCGGATATTGTTGTTCAATCTGTCATGAAAAGATATGCGACCTGGATCTTTGCAAAAATTGTAATTCCTCTTCTTTTTTTTATGAATAAATGAAACAATTTATTTCATTGATATAAACTTGTGACAAGTTTATATTATTCAGGCAAAACATTACATCAATCAGCATTTCCACTATTTCTTACCTTTTTTTAAAGGAATAGTACACCCAAAACATGATTAGCCTTCATTTTCTACTCACCCCCATGCTGAACAACACTCTGGAGTACTTTTTTGATATCTCAAATGCATCTGGAGATCTGGGAGGCTTCTTGCTGTCTGCTGACATTCAAATAATGGAGGTCTATGGTGCCCGAGACAGAAAGGTCCATAAAAGTCCACAAAAAACGTGTCAATATTCCTCCATACTGCTCGTCCAATGTATTCCAAGTGTCCTGAGTGGGTAGCATCCAGAATTTACTCGAAACGAAGTCATTTAGAATGTTTTTAGAGCATAAACAGTAGTGTATAGGATTTCCTGAAAGCGAGCACATACGCGATCACAACGCTACGGAAGCCGGCAGACCAAACCAGCGCATTCAGCTCGGCAAAGAACTCATGCTCTTCCTCAACACTGAAGTCCTCAGACATTTTTCTTTCGTTGTTTCTTTCTTTGCACAGGTAAACAGCACATTTCTTCTTCTACGCTTGCATTATCGGCAGAGCAGACGCTGAATGCGCACTTTCATCTGGTTTGGTCTGCCGGCTTCCGTAGGCTCGTGAACGCGCATGTGCGCGCTTTCAGGAAATCCTATACACTACTGTTTATGCTCTAAAAACATTCTAAATGACTTCGTTTCGAGTAAATTCTGGATGCTACCCACTCAGGACACTTGGAATACATTGGACGAGCAGTATGGAGGAATATTGACACGTTTTTTGTGGACTTTTATGGACCTTTCTGTCTCGGACACCATAGACCTCCATTATTTGAATGTCAGCAGACAGCAAGAAGCCTCCCAGATCTCCAGATGCATTTGAGATATCAAAAAAGTACTCCAGGGTGTTGTTCAGCATGGGGGTGAGTAGAAAATGAAGGCTAAAAATGTTTTGGGTGTACTATTCCTTTAAGGCCTTTTTTTTTATCAAAACAGTTCACAACTCCGTGCTTTAGTTAAATTTTACTCATATTCAAGGCTTCCATGGGTTTACATTTTTGGACTTGAGAGTGAAAGAATAAGCAAAGTGCATTTTGTCTCCATTTATCCAACATTTAATAGCAGCTAAGCCCAGGGCGGTGGTCTCTGGGTGTGTGCGCAACCTTCCAGCAACATCAACGTTGAACTTTTGCGCCGCCCTTACCGCCAATATCCGGCCGCAGGGTTTTATCATATTCCCTCAGCAGGTTGTTGAGGATGAGCGTTGCGTCCTCCTGGTGCGTCCTGGGCACCAGCATCTGGTTGACGGTGGTGTCGTGGAGGTCCTCCTCATCGTCGCCATATTCCAGTAGGTCAGAACTAAAATGGGGGTAAACATAAAAATAAATAAATAAATAAAAATGCATAACATAAATTCATCAAATTAAGTGTAGGGTGATATTTAGCAAATAAAACTTTTGTCGCAGTGGGGAAAAAAGGTCTAATACTGATGCGTAAATGTTACTTTAGCAAGGGAAAAATTTTAAAATGTATATTTTTCTTTATTTGGGGGAAGCCCTGGCACAGGAGGACCAAAATGCGCAGTTGGCCCGATGTGGCCAACTTTTTCTCCCCAGCTGTTGATCAGTCAGAAGCAGAAGAGACTCACCGAGCAGCCTGGGCGAGCAAAAGAAGTGAGAAGAAGGTGACCAGGAGCCTGAATGTCATTTTCCCACGCACGGATGGCAGCTCTGCTCGCGGGAACTGCTGGAAGGGGACCCCGGCGCGCGCTGCTGCCGCCGCCGCTGCTGCTGCCGCGTGCAGGAGGTGTGTGCCCATCAATCCCGCATCCAAACTCCCTCATCCGCCCACGTAGCCTCTACCCACGCACGCTGTCCTCCTCGCTCCTCGCAGGAGGGCTTCCTCCGGGAAGACACCCGACGATCAATCAGGACGGGTGATGAGTCCGATGGGATGAGGTGGAAACAAGAGGAGGAGGAAGGGGGCCAACTCCCTCCTCCTTTTTCCCCTCTGTTGCGCGTGCGGGGGGCCAACACACCAGTTGGTGGGGTAACGCTCTCAGCCGCTGAATCTGTGACTCATATACACCGTGCGCACTACCTGGGTGTCACTATCCAGATGAAAACAGGAGGAGACGTCATAAACGTGATTAATCACCTCCTGCACGTGAACACCTATGTGACCGGAGACTAATTTCTACCCCAAAATAAAAGAACGGGAATAAAAACGGAAAAGCATGCAGGTGCTGCGTAACTGAAGTTGAGGCATTTCTTTAGACTGGTGTTTGCAGTTTGCTTGAAGTTTGGCTTCATGAAGTCATGTCTGAACGGGCGCACGGCTTCAGAGCGAGCTCAGAGTCATTTGTTGCCCCCTGGTGGTGAAAATAGGAACGACAAGAGCAGGATTATTTCTGGCTTTAGGGCGACGCATCATTGCCATTGAATGAACGATTAGTTATTGTGGCATTGAGCTGTTCGAAGAAAAACGTAAATTGGTCACTTTTATAGATATATATTTTTAAAAACACATAGTAGGGTGAGTAGTTGTCAAGTCATATAACAGAGTTTTGGTAAAAATAGAAGCAACTATAACTAGTTTCCTAAAAAATATGGATTATCTTTTAATGTTCATGCTATATTATGCATTTTCTACCAATAAAAATATCCATATCTATAGAAATTACTCTGCAACTTTCTACCTGATCTGTTTCTTGATCTTAATGATTGTTTGTTCACTTTTGTTCTCTTAGTTTCTACTTACTAATTATGCAATTTTCAAGACATTTTTTGCTGGACTGGATTTTATTTAGGGTTATTTCAATTTTTTAAACTGCATTTTCTTTTTTTTTGCTATTAATATGTGCTATATTGTCTTGGTTTCTCACATTAAATCCTAATAGCATGCATTATATAATATTAATATAAATAGACTGAATTGATTTGAATTACACTTTCTTTCTATAATTTTATAAAATAGAATAAAATTGAGGGGGATAAATGCTTGTGCAAAGAATTTTAGATTAAAGTAAACTGAAAAACATTGCACCAAAAATTCTCCTTTTATTTTATAGCAGTGTAATATATATGTTTATTCACTAAAAATAGCAGACATTTGAATTAAAAACCTTCATTGACGCTTTTATGATCGAGTAAAATGAGGATGTTGCACTGTGTCTTTATTGAAAAGAAAGTCTTTAACAAGTGTTTAATACAGTAGTGGCAGCGTAATGCTGCGGGACCATTTCTCTGTCAGTGGAAAGATTACATTTATTCAATTCATGTAAAACAAAAAATTTAATGGTTTTAAAATTTTAAAAAATGAGCATGACAGCCTGCGAATGTAGCTCAGAATGAATATCGAATAGTGAGCAAATCTAAACTTTAAAAACTTTGAAAAGTTTTGCTATCTAATTTTGAATAATGTATGATGAAATCTAATATTTCAGACAAAGGAAAAAAATAATCGTTTCACGTTCTTTTAAATTCAACAGAGTTTTATTCTTCATCAAATACAGCCTTGAAGCCAATCAGAGCTTTAGAAATTTCCACTCTGACTGGCAGGAGAAAACAAACTAAATCAATCCTCTCTGGAGACAATGATGGCGGATCCACAGTAAGCTGCATACATCAGCAGAGAATCAAATCAATACTACTAACAAGTGCTAATGTCAGATTTCCTTCTTGTATTAGCAGCTTTAAAAAGGGTTTAATGAAGCCACGTCTGAGCTACAGCAGTGCTTTAACAGATGGCGTTGCATTCTACAGCATCTTTATTAATCCTCCTTATTTGTAAAATACACACAAATACAAAAGATAAAACAATGAGTGGGTGGCACGGAATCAGCTGCAATGCTTTTGCAGCGATTTTGCAAAATATAGGGCAACATGTTTTATTGGTTGCCTTAATAATTCAGTTTTGCATGCAGCTGAATGTGTGTTTATCGTAGAAGCAACAGTTGCAGTCAGAAACGAGAGCTCCAAACTTCAGTCTGTCTCACTACTCATGAGCTAGCATTAGATAAAATGCACATAATAAATCCAGAGGCCTCTCCTAAACACACAATTATGTCCACACTCTAAATTAATATAAACAAGCAGTTGTCAATGCGCTTGGGGGGTGCTCAGAGCTTAAATCAGAGAAAAGTGGTGTGCTGTAAGGCACCCCCACACCCAAAGAAAAACAATATAAGTTGATGTAAATCCATTTTCTAGCAGATGTATGGAATGATGGGCTGAAGGAAAATGTGAGGGGTGGGCAGATATTTCCTGGCTGACAGAGGAAGAGGGCTGAATGAATGGGTTGATGGATGCACTTATTTTGAGAAGCCAAAAAAGCCCAGAAACAGTTGTTTGTTTTTTTAAGATGACCTTGAATTGTCAGTCATAAGAATGTGCACAAAAATGCTTATTTCACTTCTATGACTCAACCCGACAAAACAATCCTAAGGACTCACTCTGTGTGCAGAGATGCACAGAAAGGGAGGCTGTTACCCGGGAGAATGTCTGCTCTGCTAATCTTCTTCTCGGCTGCCATGTTGACCCAGACCGGACAGTCAGATGGACGTGTCAACCGTCATCTTCATTTTACTCCACCTCCTTTCACCCTAACAAGCACAGAAACGTCAGCCCCGCTGACAGACAGCAGCGATTTAGTAGCCAGAGGCTACAGCCTTACCAGAATGGGTTAGTTCTACGCAGAAATCCTGCCACATCTCACAAAAAGTCATTTTAGAAACAGACAGGTTTGATGTTGTTTACTTTAGGTCTGCCTTAGGTTCGCAAAGCAGAGATGATACTGTCGGAGCTAGTGCACCCTCTCTCAGCTTCCAAAGTTTCATCTAACATAGATTAAATATTAAATTCAGCTGCAGTTGGAGGTTAGTGACTGAAATGAAAGAAAATGGTTAGGATGTCCTCCCATAACAGTTACTAGTGGTAGACAATGGGCTGAAAAAGGTTCTGTTGATGAGTTTGCAATAGTCACTACATAGAAATGCCTGTAAAACTGCTGGTAAAACTGGGACCAACAAGGCCCTTAATTTTGAGCAACTTTTTCTTAAATCCTTGTAGTTAAGACCTTTATCAACACCACATGTTTTACTTATATGGCTTTAATCTAATCAAACCAAATGGGTGTTATGGTAATCCCTTTGTGAGCACAAGCTTAACACTCAACAACATTAAAATACTTACTTGCTTGTTTGAGACACAAATTAATTTCCGCAAGACACAGGAAATAAACATGTGGATAATATCCTAGATGTCAAGCATGGTGGTATAAACGTCATGATGTGGGCCTGTCCATTGAAACCAACCGATCTGAATGAGTTCCGTTTGCAATCCGCTGAGATAAGTGATCAGACATTCAAGCAGAACTAGCTAGAAAGTTACAGCTAAGACTTATTGTTAAGGTACAACAACTTTTTAAGAAGCAGTTTTGTCGCTGAGGTCCATCAAAAAAGAAAGCATTAGCAGCTGAAGAGAGGGAACTATTGTCTTCAGTGTGATGTGATTCAAGAAGTACAGACTGAGGCATCCATTTGGCTGCAAACATCGGCCATTTTGTTCCTGAGTATGTCCCAACACAGACTGTGGTCCTCGGCGTCAATCCAAAACTTGTGCACACAGTCTCTAGTTAGAGGAGAAAATAAAAACCCCACAAAGCTCAAATGTCCATTTTCCTCTACAAGCATAAATAACAAAATGAAGTAAAAGCACAAATATCTTGAGAAGAAGATACAAGAAGGAACTCTTCATTTTTTTTTTTTCTCTTGAATGCTTTAGGACACAAGCATAAAAAAAAATCTGAAAATTAAAACTGTATTTACATGTTGACTATTACAACTAACCAAAATCTAAGTTACAGTAAATGTTTGTTCACCCATGAAACAAAGTACATTTATGCAAAAAGGATATCTCATTTCATAAATTATCCCACCAATATTGACTTATAGTATTTTGCAAACTGAGGTCCTAAGTAACATCCAAAGTGGAAATTAAAAATTGAGACATATTACTGGCCATGGTGTTGAATTTGACTCCTATATGTTAAATTACATACAAAATTCAAATTATACTTGGTTTTAAAAATCATGTACAAAGAACCTTTCAAAATCAGATTTCATAAACCTCTTAGTAAAGGAGCTAACATGATTTCCAAATAAATAGTTAACAAGGAGGCCTCTTCAGCGGACATTTGTTAAACTTGTCAAAAATAATGGCTATGACCTACATTCATTAATAGTTAAAAGGGAAAATTAGTAGCATAACAAAGAGTAAACAAAACGTTTGTTGTGAAGCAGTGAAACAACATATTCTGTTGAATAGCCCCTCCTTTATGTAAAGTACATCAATTAAACATCTAAGGAGCTAAGTTTTACTCTATAATATCGGAGAATAACCTATAAATTGTTGTGTTTTAGAAAGTGAGGCACAAGATTTTTTCTTATACAATTTTTTTTAACTTATTAGCAACAAAGCTAACAAGCATTCTAGCTAGCTAATGAGGATATTTTTGGTATCCTCTGTATAACATCTTGGACAGAAATAATTAAAGTTGTCATATTTAAGTACATTCAGAACTTACAACGGAGCATTAGGGCCAGGCTAGAGATTTTTTTTCTTCTATTTCGAGAATAAAGTCGGAACATTACAAGAATAAAGTCATCAGATTATTAGATTAAAGTTGTAATATTACGAGAATAAAGTCGTAACATTACAAGAATAAAGTTGTAATATTGTCATAAGGTTACAACTTTATTCTCGTCGTTTTACGACTTTATTCTAGAAATTTACAACTTTATTCTTGTAATTCTACGACTTTATTCTCGTAATTTTATGACTTTATTCTCGTAATTTTACAACTTTATTGTCGTAATGTTACAAATTTCTCATAATTATACGACTTTATTCTCGTAATGTTACGAATTTATTCTCGGAATTTTACGACTTTATTCTCGTAATGTTACGACTTTATTCTCCTAATGTTATGACTTTATTCTTGCAATGTTACGACTTTATTCTCCTAATGTTATGACTTTATTCTCGCAAAGTTACGACTTTATTCTCCTAATATTACGACTTTATTATCGAAATAGAAGGAAAAAAAATCTCTAGCCTGGCCCTTATACTCCGTCGTAATAACTAGCTGCTATTAAAAGAACTGTATACAAAAAGAAATTGTTAAATAAAGCAAGCTAATGAACCAGCTGTTATCATGTATCTTATAGCTGTTTATGATTAAAAGAAAAACAAAAACC